CTTTTTCTTTGCAAAATAAATAAATAAATAAATAAATAAATAAATAAATAAATAAATAAATAAATAAACTAAATAAATAAATAAATAAATATATTTATTTATTTATAGAGTATAAGTAAGTAACTAAATTGTTGTATAATTTCTTTAGGAGAAATTCTTTTTTTCTCTTTTTCTTTGCAAAGTAAGCAAATAAATAAATAAATAAATAAATAAATAAATAAATAAATAAATAAATAAATATAATAAATAAATAAATAAATTTATACAGTAAGTAAGTCACTAAATTGTTTAAATAAATAAATAAATAAATAAATAAATAAATAAATAAATAAACTAAATAAATAAATAAATAAATATATTTATTTATTTATAGAGTATAAGTAAGTAACTAAATTGTTGTATAATTTCTTTAGGAGAAATTCTTTTTTTCTCTTTTTCTTTGCAAAGTAAGCAAATAAATAAATAAATAAATAAATAAATAAATAAATAAATAAATAAATAAATATAATAAATAAATAAATAAATTTATACAGTAAGTAAGTCACTAAATTGTTGTATAATTTCTTTAGCAGAAATTCTTTTTTCTCTTTTTCTTTGCAGAAGAAGAAAGAGAAGTTGTTGCCACCTATAAGGAATATTATTTATCTGCATTTGTTTAATTAATATATTATTTAATAATTCTTCTTTTTCTTGTATTGTTAATTCTTTATTTATATTTATATCTTTATTTATATATTTATTATTTATTTCTTTATTTGTATCTAAATCATTATTTAATTCATTATCTATATTTTCTTTATAGAGGTAATTAAATAAATCTGTATAATAATTATTATTATCTATATCTATATTATTATTATTTATATTACTATCTATATTATTATTATTATTATTATTATTATAATGTATTAATTGCTTAATTGTATTAATAAATTGTGTATTATTATGCGCATAATTAGATAAATAATAAGGAAGATCATCAGTAAATAATTCAAAAATTAATACACCTAATGACCATAGATCAGTCTTTAGCGAACAATTTATTTTTTCTTCTTTTTTTTCTTCTTCCTCTAATCCTCCTCCTCCTCCTCCTCCTCCTCCTCCTCCTCCTCCTTCTTCTTCTTCTTTTTCTTTTTCTTGTTGTTGCTGTTGTTCTTCTTGATCTAATTTATTATTTATATGTATTAATAATTCAGGCTCTGTATATACAGGATAAATTTCTTTATTATATTCAAGAAAATTATCTCCTTGTTTATTTATATTATAAAATCCCCCCAATAAAAAAGTACCATTACCCCTCATTAATAAATTATTTAATTGTATATTATTATGGCATATTTTTTGTTGCTGTAGGTGCAGCACAATAAGCAGCAAACGTTGTGCTATATATACTTTTGCTGCTAATGGTGGCCTATTAGCTAAGCTCTCTATTAATTCCTCTAATTGTCCTCTATATCTTTCTATGATTTGTATATTATTATAAATAAATATACCAGGTGTACGTACACCTAAATTATTATTATTATATATACCAGGTGTATATACACCTTCTCCTATACCCTCTATTCTTCCCTCTGCTAATGGTATTATATAACCTTTTAGGTCTGCTGCTGCTGCTGCAGGTAAATCCCCTAAAACTATATCTATACCTCTTTCCTCTAGTGCACATATTTCTGCTGCTGCAGCAGCAAGCCTCTCCTTCTCCTCTTCCTCTCCTTCCTCTTCTTCCTCCCCTCCTCCTAACCCTTTTCCCTCATCCTCCTCACCCCTATTACCACTATTATTATTACTGCTGCTGCTGCTGCTGCTGCTGCTGCTGCTGCTGCCCTCTGTATAGAAGGGAATCTTAAGGATAAGGAGCTGATCTGTTCTCTCGTCCTTTATCTCTAATAAGAGTGAATACCCCCATTGACCTAAGAAGCGCATAACAAAGAAATTTCTTTTTTTATCTTTTTCTTGTGTATATTTATTTATAGATCTTAATTCAATTAATTGTATTTTTTGTCCAACTATTTCTTGTGTCTCTCCATTAGATAATTGTACAGCTAATTGTTGTATAGCAGCAGCAGCAGCAGCAGATGCAGCAGGATAACGTTGATCTGCAGCACGAATTAGTTCTAATTCCCTTAATGCTTCCTCTATATACTTTCTTCCTTCTATTGTTAACGAAGAAAGTCTTTCTTCCTCGGACCCAACAGCAGGTAATAGGCTAAATTCCCCATCTTCATCATCTTCTTGTCCTGCTGCTGCTGCTGCTGCTGCTGCTGCTTCTTCTTCACTTCCTGCTGCTGCTGCTATTGATGCAGATATTGGTGCTGCTCCTGGTTGTAGTTGTAGAGGAGGAGGAGGATCATGTTTAGACGAGGAAAGAAGAGATGGACATAATGTTGCTGTTGTTGTTATTGTACCTTTTGCTGCTGCTGCTGCTGATGCAGCTGCTGCTGCTGCAGCTGCTGCTGATGATATTGCTGCTGCTGCTGCTTCTGCTGTTGGTTGCTGTTGGGATATTATTGGAGATACACGAGCTACCTGTCTAACTGGTGGTTGTGGTGGTTTTGCTGCTGCATCTGCATCTGCTGCTGCAGCAGCTGCAGCTGCTGCTGCAACTGCTGCTGCATCTGCTGCTGCTTGTTGCTGTTTTTGTTGTTCTGCTGATGCTGCACTAGCCTGAACAGAAGCAGCAGCAGTCTTAATAAGACCCATACGCCATTCTAATACACCTAATGCTAATAAGGCAGTAACAAGAAGAGGTAATGCAGAAGAAAGTGCATGTTTACGACGAAGACGGCGTCTTCTTGCACCTCTTGCATACATCTGCATTTCGTCTGCTACAGCATAACCTTCCTGTTGCTGCTCCTGATGATGATGCTGATTATCATCAAAAAAACCCTCTTCCTCTTGTTCAAGCTGTTGCTGCTGCTGCTGCTGCCGCCGACGCTGCTGCTGTTGTTGCTGCTGCTGTTGCGGCCGTTGTTGTTGTTGTTGTTGCTGCTGCTCGTTGGTGCTGTTGATAGAGGTGGTCTCGGACTCTACACCACTCCATGTACCAACAACTGCATCATCGGCATCAGTAGAAGACTCAGGAAGAGGACCTGAGTGTATCATCCTAGTAAAAGAGGGTTTACAAGAAACTGTACAAGAAAAAACCTTTATAAAAAACCCTAAATTGCGGCAAACAAAGAAGAAAAAGAAGGAAAAGTTATGCCATGGGCATCGGAGGATTTCCTTGTCGTCTCGTCACATCCATTCATGAACTTGACGACTCGCAATGTTGCAAACGGCAATATAAACGGAAGTAATAAATCTAAAGAAATAAATGACAATTAAAAAGCCCCAAACAAATGAATATAAATAAAAAAAGGGGCAAAGAAAAAGGGGTGCGGATTTCAATAAAGTTTCCCCCTTTCAATGAAAGAAACTAACCCACGACGAACGGGGTGTTGTGGTGTATGTATATATATATTGATGACGAAGACGAGACGTCAAAAGGAGGTACTTTATTCAAAAAAGCACCCATCTAACTAAATATAAAAATGCAAAACATTTTATAAAATGCAAGAAATACAATTGTACATCTTGTTGTATGAATTTCATTGATGAAACAGACACATGCATGCGCAGCGCCGTACACGCACACAGCCTTATGCTGCGCAATATGACCCATACCTGTTTCCGTTAAAGAATGTATTTATTAAATAAAACCTATAAAAACCAATAGAATAATTATTAAAGAAAATATACCAAAAAAAATACACACACAAAATGCAGGAAGCAATGCCTCATTAGCCCGATCATGCAACAGTTGTCATTCAACAACGTCGTCAACAACAAAGAAGCCTGGAGAAGAAAAAGAGGAAAGCAGGCCGATCCTCCATGAAAAATTGCCTAAAAAACGTATTCTTTTAATCAAAAAAAACAATTAACTTGTATTTTATCCAATTGTAATTTTTTTTCTTGTTTTTTACCATTTTTTCCCCGTAAAAAAAGACTTTTTATTCGCCGTCAATGCCTTGTATATAAGGCCTCCTGCTTCTCCCATTGACATGAGGAAGGCTCTGTCGAGGCTCTGTAAATCTTCGCTGTTGCAGGCAAATCTGTCGTCATTTCTTTTATTTTATTCATTAAAAAAATAAAATTAAAAATAAATATTTTTGCAAAGAAAAAAAAATCCCCAATTTAATCGATTTTCCCCTCTTTTCCCCCCGTCGAGATACGCTGCTGCGTCGCAACCCCACTGATGGGGGAGAGCTGCAGGCTGCAGCAGCAGCAGCAGCTGCTGTTGTGTGTGTTGCTTCTTACACAATTAAAATTAAAAAGAAAAAATATATTTTGATGATTATTCCTTCATTGGAGAATGTAGAAGTATTAATATAAATGAAGAAGTTCCTTCCTCTCATGGTTACATCAAGCTGCACATACACCGCAACACACACAACAGCAACAACAAGAATCACCACAATAAAGTTCTGCATGGATTTTACGTTTTTTTTTGTTTTTCTCTGCCTATACACCCTGCAGAAAAATGAATTCTTCTTAGAGACAGAGACGCACTTATCACTGTCAATGGAGAAGCGGTTCTTTAGGGTATACATGCTGCGTGCGCTGTCTTCTCCTCTTTATTGCCATAAAAGAAAACAAACAAATACTCAATAGGCAATTATATTTATATAGAAGAGAAAATATAGAAAGATTGGGGATTTTTGAGGTGTATGTACACTGCAAGTATGCCCTAGACTGCATGCAACCTTATTATAAATCATTAAGAGGAAGAGTTGCTGTTGTATGTGTTTTATAATATATACAATGTAAACTATTAAAACAGCAGCAGCAGCAGAAGCAGCAGCAGCAGAAGCAGCAGCAGCAGAAGCAGCAGCAATTTAATAGTGACTTTCTCCTGCTGCTTCTCTTTGTCTGTTGGCAGGAAGTCTATTAGTGATTACCGCAGGGTGTATCGACAGCAAGCGAGCAGCAGCTTCGTCAATGTATTTGGCAGCAGCAGCAGCAGCAGCAGTAGATGCTGCTGCTGCTGCTGCAGCTGCTGCGTTGCGTTGTTAGCTTTGCATAAAATCTTGCTGCTGCATGCAAAACAAATTCATCGATGACAAAGGAAGGAATGTATCGATATCTTCCTCAGCTGTATACGCAGCAATTGGGGTGTATAGGCAGCATTTGTGGTGTATAGGCAGCTGTTGGGGTGTATAGACAGCTGAATAAATGCCAATTAATTCTTTCTTTGCAACTTACATCATTTTATCTTATCTTTATGCATACTGCATGCATAAAAAGGGAACAAACAGTTGCTGCAACGAAGGTGGAACAGGCAGGCCTGCAGCAGCAGCCCCTTGACAACCTTGAATCAGCAGCAGCAGGAGCTGCAGCAGGAATTGCAGCAGCACCTGCTGCTGCCGCTGTTGCTCCTGGTTCTGCTGCTTGTGCTGCATTCTTCCCCTTCTTAGCCATGCTAGGCCCCCCCCTTGACGCCCCTGTGCCCTCGATAACGATTCAGTTGTAGTCAGCACACAGCTAGATATCGTGTACAGGGTTTGTGGTCTAGGGTTTAGGGTTTAGGGTTTAGGGTTTAGCGTTTAGGGTTTGTAGTGGTGTTCTTAGGGTCTATGTGTGTGCCAGCGGGGCACCATAGTTTATGTTGCTACTCTAGGGATTGAAACAAACAACAACAAGCTGCTGATTAAGTAAATAATAAATAAAAAATAATTTTATTTAATATATTTCTCCTTTTTCTCCTTTATAAGTAAAACCCTCTTCTTATTGGCAGCCTGCTTGCAGATCTTGAGGTGTCTATACACCGGAAGAGGCGCAACGAGGAAGAAGCACAGAAATAAATCAACAAAAGTTGCCGTATATACAAAACAAAATAATAGAAAAAAACTTAAATTGCTTTACTTTTATTTTATTTTTAAATAAACCTAAAAATGCAAGAAAATGCATAAAGGAAGAAAATGCAAATCGAACCCCTACGGTGTATAGACACTGGGGTGTACATACAGCTAAAGAGGAAGGAAGAGTTAAATCGCAATAAAAACAATCTTAATTCCTTTTATTTTATGTTTAATGAATATTTAACTTATATTTAAATATAACAACGAAAGGTATATTAAGAAGGTCTGCGGGGCCTCGACCGGGTGTAAACCCTAAACCCTAAACCCTAAACCCCAAACACTAAACCCTAACAACTAAACACTAGACAGAACAGCTGAGGTCAAGTTTCAACGTGCTTTTTAAGTTCTTTAATATATATTATAGAAGCGCTTATTAGTGCAAGAAGTCTTGAATATCAAACCCTAAACCCTAAACCCTAAACCCTAAACCCCAGGGGGGGAGGTGTTACCACCGCACAACAACCACCGCCGCCACGCGGCGGTTTAGGGTTTAGGGTTTACGGTTTGTTTGATGTTTTAAAGGTGCTGTTTGCATGAAATATGAGTCTTCTTTCTCTTTTATTACCTCACTAACTTTATGCTTTTTTCTTTTTGTTAGTAAATACATAAACCCTAAACCCTTGTGGGGAGGGTTTCTTCGGCCTCTCCCGCCAGCCCCTTTAGGCCTGCAAACCCTAAACCCTAAACACTAAACCCTTAACCTCTTCTTGACTATCTTCTGTTTTTGCTGTTGTTGACACCTTTCCTCGAGGCCTTACCTCCAGCAGCAACAACTACAGCAACAGCAGCAGCAGCTGCAGCAGCACAGGCAAGGCCAGCAGCGCTGGGGACGCCAGCTGCAACAGTTGCAGCAGCAGCACAAGCAGCAGCAGCATCCAGCCAGCCGCTTGAACCGCAGCATAAGCAGCAGCAGCACCACCGCCACCCTCCGCCGCCGCCGGAGTAGCAGCAGCAGCACAAGTAGCAGCAGCAGCAGAAGCAGCAGCTGCAGCAGGATCATTCTATCAATTCCCCTCCATACAATACGCACCCCAACAAGCAGCACAACGAGCTGCAGCAGAATAAGCAGCAGCAGCACAACAATCAGTAGCAGCAACACAACAATCAGCAGCATCAAGAACAGCAGCAGCAACAGCAGCAACAGCAGCAGCAGCAGCAGCAGCAGAAATGTCTGCAGGTGGTGGTGCAGTATCCGAAGGGTCTCGTGGTCCATTCGTGACCCCGGAGGTCCATCAACAATCTGCTGGTGGTCCATTGGCCCATTTTGCCTCTACAGCTAACCATCAGCATGCTACTACAGCTAAGGAGGATCCAGCTACTGTACAGGTATATATAAACCCTAATAAACCCTAATAAACCCTAAACCCTAAACACTAATCAGCTGGTTAGTGGTAGTCAGGCAGTAATACATCAGAAACGTCAATAAATCATAATGCTGTTGGCTGCTGCAGCAACAGCAGCAGCAGCAAAAACACGTCCTAGGGTTTAGGGTTTAGGGTTTAGGGTTTAGGGTTTGGAGTGTTTGTACAGGATGCGAACTTTGCTGCATTCTTTGCCCATTTCTTGAGGGTTTACAAGGGCCCAGGGACTACAGAGGAAGACCCTGAACCTGAGGGAATAGAAGGGTTTCCAACAGAAATAACAGGTAACGTCTAGGGTTTAGGGTTTAGGGTTTAGGGCTTAGGGTTTGAGGACGAGGGTTTGTTATATATGTGGCTCTGTCTGTGTTGTCACCATCTCCGTTTGTGTCAATCCTTCTCTACGATTTATAAAGACATAGGGTGTACTATTTAGGGTTTAGGGTTTAGGGTTTAGGGTTTAGGGTTTATTATGTGTACAGAATTCTACTATTTGCGTCGTATAGCTGCTGTACTGCAGCGGCAAAGAAGGGTTTGCAGTCTTTTTGTTTCCTTAAAAGATTTAGAGGGTTGGGTACCATCAGGGGCCCCCGTAGAGGACGCGGGCCTCAAGCTAGCTCACCATATAAGGAAAAATTATATCAGGTAATAAACCCTAAACCCTAAACCCTTAATAAACCCCAAACCCTAGAGAATATTGCGGACACAGTTGCCATTCTCACGGGCACAAAACTCTGCTTAACGACATGCAAAATATGACTATATATCCACCACTTTACGGTTTAGGGTTTAGGGTTTAGGGTTTAGGGTTTGGCGTGCAGGATCCAACCCCTACTGCAGGAGCGGCTGCAGCAACTCGCTAATGAGGTCGCTCAGCGTATTTCTTGCATCGCCTCTCCGGTGTATCTGCAGCTCCATGATATTCCTCGTTATATACACAGGTACCTATCTACTTCTTTTAAGGGTTTAGGGTTTAGGGTTTATGAGGTTTTACAAGGGTTTGAGGGTTTCCCACTGTTCTAGAGGGTTTGCGATTAGGGTTTATGTGTGTTTCCTCCTATCCTAGGGTTTAGGGTTTCCAAATATTTTAGGGTTTTTAGGGTTTTCTAGGGTTTTTTAGGGTTTAGGGTTTAGGGTTTATGAGGGTTTATTTGTGTTTATGTATATGTATAATTGCAGCATAAGCAGCGTACGCTGCAGTATGTTGGGTAGTTTAATTTGTTTAAAGGGTTTAGTTACACGAACAACAGATGTACAACCTGAACTTCTTTCTGCTGCCTTTCGTTGTTATGATTGCGATCGAGTTGAGTTAGGAGTTGCTCAACATTTCAGATATACAGAGGTAGGGTTTATGAGGGTTTATTAGGGTTTATGAGGGTTTATGAGGGTTTATGGGGGTTTACGAAAGGTTTATAATGGTTTAAGGGGGGTTGGGAGATTTTAGAGGGTTTACGCTTTTTGAGGGTTTATGAATGTTCATGAAGGTGTAATTTCTAGGGTTTAGGGTTTAGGGTTTAGGGTTTACGTATACAGCCTGTATAAAATGTTCAACTCCGGATTGTCATAACACTCGAAATTGGAAATGAATTCCCAAATTATATGAAAAAAGTTTTTGAAAATTTTTAGGGTTTAGGGTTTAGGGTTTAGGGTTTAGGGTTTATGTATTCAGCCGATGTAAAATGTTCAACATTAGATTGTCACAACACTTGAAATTGGAAATTATTTCTTGAATTATGTCAAAGATATTTTTGAAAATTTCTAGGGTTTAGGGTTTAGGGTTTAGGGTTTAGGGTTTAGGGTTTAGGGTTTAGGGTTTGTGTATTTTTGTACAGCCAGTAAAATGTTCAACTCCAGATTGTCATAACACTCGAAATTGGAAATTAATTCCCGAGTTATCAGAATTTTCGGATTGGCAGAAATTACGTCTTCAGGAGCCAACAGGAGAAATGCAGGCATCAGGTCTACCTAGATCTATTGATGTTATTGTTAGGTAATTGTTGCTCCTGCTGCTGCTGCTTTTGCTGCTTTTGCTGCTGCTGCTGCTGCTGCTTGTGATGGTCGTTGTGTTTGTTTTTATGCTCCTGCTGTTGCTGCTATTGTTCTGTTGTTGCTGCTTCCCGACACCAGCAACAGGAGAGCTGTTTCCCGTTCCTGCAATTTATCCCTATTCCTGTTGCTGCTGATTCTGCTGTTGCTGTTGCTGCTGCTGCTGCTGCTGCTGCTGCTGCAGGCATTCACTGGTAGATAAGGTGTATGCAGGAGATGTTGTGTTAGTGACGGGGGCATTGATTGCTGTTCCGGATGTCCCTGCGCTCCTTAAGCCAGGCGAAAACCCTAGGTAAACCCTAAACCCTAAACCCTAAACCCTAGGACATATAGAAAGGTGTAGTAAAAAAGGGATTAAATAATAGATGAAGAAAAAAATATATATAATAAATAAAAAGGAATAAAAAAGGGTATTAAAAGAAAAAGGGTTTATTATATATATTTGTTTATTTATTTATACAGGGCTGTTTCCCGTCAAATACCAAGAAGACAACATGAATTAGCTGCTGCTTCTGCTGTTAGGGGTTTGGAGGGTTTAGGGGTTAGGGAACTTAATTTTAGGGTTTGTTTATTAGCTGTACAAATTGAATCTATTTCCTCTAATCAGCATGAAATTATTCTAGACGATTCAAGAGAGGTAACTAAACCCTAAACCCTAAACCCTAAACCCTAAACCCTTATAAATATCAACTATACCTACATTTCCCTATAAAATACCCTACCTATCCATCCAACCCTAAAACCCTAAACCCTAAACCCTAATCTTCAAGAGAAACACACATACGCATAAACAAACACTTCCCCCTCTCCACCACATCCACAAGAATCCTAAACCCTCAACCTAAACCCTAAATCCTAAACCCTAAACCCTAAACCCTTTTTTTTTTCAGTTTTTTCAAGCCAGCGACTTTTTAACTCGTGGTGCATTTGAATGGATTAAAGAAGTCGCCTCTCGTAAAGATTGTCTTTCTTATTTAGTTAGGAGTGTTGCACCTAGGGTAAGATATACCTTCTTGCTGCTGTTGTTGTTGCTGCTGCTGCTGCTGTTGCTGCTGCTGCTGCTGTTGCTGATGCTGCTGCTGCATGTTGTATGACTAATGATGTGGCAAGAAGGGTGTTGGGGTGTATACGCAGGTGTGGGGTCACGAAGATGTTAAGAAGGGTTTGCTGTTAACAATTACAGGAGGAGTAACAAAAGAAACAGGAAGCTCTAGACTCAGGCAAGGGTTTAGGGTTTAGGGTTTAGGGTTTATGACGAAGTATTAACATTTTTTGTATCCTCCTATTTGTTTCTCTCTGATTAGCAACGATTCCTTTTCTTTTGTGATTTTTCTTTCCAAAACCCTAAACCCCAAACGCTAAACCCCAAACCCTAAACCCCAAACCCTAAACCCTAAACCCTTTTTTTTTTTTTTTTTCTGCAGAGGAGATATAAATATGTGTATAGTTGGTGATCCATCAACAAGCAAGAGTCAAATGCTTATTTGGGTAGAGGGTTTCTGCCCTCGTGCTGTATTTACATCAGGAAAAGGGTCTACTGCTGCAGGTCTTACTGCTGCTGTTGTTCGGTAAACCCTAAACCCTAATTTGCCCTAATAAACCCTAACATACCATAAAGGATAAACCCTAGAAATCCAATTATGGCACAGGAATGGCAGTCATACTCGAAAGAGGCATCTAAGAAGGCTCAGAATAGGGATTGAAATTTAGGGTTTAGGGTTTAGGGTTTAGGGTTTGTGTGCTGCAGCGATCCCGACCAAGGGGATTATGTGCTAGAGGCAGGTGCCCTGATGTACGCCGATCAAGGTACGCAAACCCTAAACCCTATACCCTTTAATGTGCTGCAAACCCTTCCCATTCATAGTAGGCCTCGAAATTAGGGTTTAGGGTTTAGGGTTTAGGGTTTAGGGTTTGTTGATCAGGAATATGTTGTATTGATGAATTTGATAAGATGGATGATAAAGATCGTGTTGCTATTCATGAGGCAATGGAGCAACAAACTATTTCTATTGCTAAGGCTGGTATTCAGGTGTATATATACACCCCCCCCCTTATAAACCCTAAACCCTAAACCCTTATTACACTCACCCAACACTTCTTGCTGCTAGTGCTGCTGTTGTTGTTGTTGTTGTTGCTATTGGTTTTTCTTAGTGTTACTGCTGTTGCTGCTGTTGGTTGCCTACATTTCCCTCAATATTGTCTATCTGGGATCGTCTGGGATCGCCTTGGGATCGTGTGGGATCGTCTTGGGATCGTGTGGGATCGTCTTGGGATCATGTGGGATCGTTTGGGATCGTCTTAAAATTGTGTGGGATCGTATGGGATCGTGTGGGATCGTATGGGATCGTGTGGGATCGTGTTGGGATCGTGTATGTTATTGTATAGGCAACTCTAAATGCTCGTGCAAGTGTCTTAGCTGCATGCAACCCTCGATTCGGTCGGTACGACCGCAGCAAAAGTTTTGCAGCAAATGTACAAATTCCTCCCCCTCTTCTTTCCCGATTTGATTTACTTTTTACTCTTATTGATGAAATTGATGAAGAAAGAGATAAAGCTATTTTTGAGCATCTTGTATGTATATATATATTTATATATTTATATATACAATTAACCCTAAACCCTACACCCTA